TTTTTTGAAACCTTAGAAAAAGATGCATAAGTATCGAGTAAAAGTCACTATATTTGTTGGAGGGCATACAACATCGATATACCTATGGAAGTGAAGATAAACAGAACAGAAAGAAACAATAGGAAAAAACCTGTTTATGCAGTTCCTTCAATAATGAAATACGGAATTCACATGTTCCACATAAGTTAACAGATAATTTGATATAAATTATTTTTTGTGCAATGAAATATACTTTTAAGTTTAGAATAAGTGAAGTGAAAGAGTGACAGATTTATGTGGATATAGATGTGGGTGGTGTAGGTGCATAAGCAATACGCCCACTCTTATCTCATTTCACTTTAATGGTCTTCTCTTTGCGATTTCTCTTGAAAAGAAAATTTTAATCGAATTGCACCGATAGGAATACTGTTTTACATGGTATATTTTAGATGAATAAATGATTTTCATGCTGTAAAAACAAACAATCTGAAAAAGTATTCTATGAAACCAATTAGATCAACAAAATCGAGTAAATTTTTTTTGCAATCATACTCTTTTTGAATCTGAAATCTTCAAAAAAAGTTTCGAATTGACTCCTCATCATTTCCAACGTAACTTACTATATTTCCGTTGTAAAAAATTTGGAAGATGAGTCAGTCAATTAGTTTTACATTTCTTTTTCAATATTTCAGGGAATAAACATGCGAAAACTTCCGTTTGTTTTTCGTTCTATAAGGGCTCTATGACACATCGCTACAAATTTCCACTCGTCGTTATTGCACAATCAGAATGTATAATTGACGATAAAACATTTATTATATTTTTACATTCGGCGCACTATCATTTATGTCTATTAAAAAGAAATTTTATCTTCAAACATTACCCATCGAGCTTGTTCATCAAATTTTCGATAATCTTGATGCGACGACAATTATATTTTCAATTCGTTGCATATGTAAACGGTTTTATTCCATTGCTAATGCCTACCATCGCTATGAACTAGACTTCCGTTATATGTCAAAATCTGATCTACTTCGCATGAGACGTATTATTAATCTTAAAAATGTTACTTCTCTTACATTATCAAATGAAATGGAAACAAGCAGTCAAATTCAATTCTTTTTATCCCACTTTCATGTTGACCAATTCATTAGGCTACGTTCATTGCATCTCATTAATGTAGAAGACGAAAATTTGAATGAATTTCAACAACATATCATGAAATTTCCTCTTACACGATTTTCAATATTGACTGGTAACGACGATGCTGACGATTTTGACGATGATGATGATTTCTACAATGCTAACCATGATCATGAAAAAATAAAACTGGTATCATCAATTGTGTCGCACAATGATCTTCGTAAATTTGAATTTGGAGAAAGACATGGCACCCTTAGTAGAATACAGTGGCCTATCTCGTGTAGATTAGAACACGTGACAATTAATTGTCAGTGCCACTTGGATACAGTTTACTCTATTCTTGGTCATTTACCTTATCTACAAACATTGGTTCTGAACAAAATTTATAGAGATCTAGTTGATGAGACTATTGCTACACATTCTGATGTCATACGGTCATATCATTTAACTTCGCTCTCGTTAAACATCAATTCTAGTATAACGATTGACAACGTCGAATCGCTTCTTTCATGTTTACCTAGGCTAATACATCTTCGATTGATGACGGGTGAATCACTTGGAGTCGATTCTTTATTATGTGATGGTTCTCGATGGGAGAATTTTATTCAAACGAAATTACCTCTATTGAGCAAGTTTGAATTCTGGCTCACTCATTTTGTATTTCATGATATAGATTATCCTTCCGTAGAATCACTGATTGCACCATTTCGAACACCATTCTGGCTCGAACTCAAACATTGGTTTGTTAAATGTGACTACAAGTACAACGAATATTGCCTGACATTTAGTGTCTATTCGATACCAATCTTTCAAGATGACTTTCCTTATTTTAGCCAACGTGATACAATTCAGCATTTCGCGCTGAACACAGTTGATAATAATGTAATAACTATCGTCGATGTGCATCGATTACATTTAAATGTGAGTCGAATGATGACTGACAGCTTTCTACAAAAAGTAAGGATTATTTTACGTTTTCATATCGATTATTTCTTCTCGAAAAAATGATTCTTCTGAAGAAAAATCAATAGATTATTACTTGAATTTAATAAGGAGTTTTGTTAAATACTTTTCGTAGACTGACATCGATTATTACTGGTTTTTTTCCGACGCCTAACCATTTTGAAAAATTACTATTGTTGTTGAAGTTTCTCGGAAAAATTTCAATAAAAATTATGAACTTGTCAGGATAGATAAGAGAGTTCGAATAATTGAATAAAAGTTGTGTTCAGATCCTATAATGCTAAAAAAAGTGACTCGTTTTGCCATCCATATTTCTTCAGAATGTCATGTGTCATAAATAAATTCACAACAAAAAATGTCAAAGTTTTCCTTCATAGTAATTGATAAAGAATGCTCAAAACTGCCACTAATTGCTCTCATATACAAAAGTTTGTGATTTCGAATTCCAAAAAAGATACTTTCGATGAATGTCGTAACGGTTTATTAAATAACTTTGAATCAATTTATAATCCAACTGGAGAAGACCAGTGAACTGTAACAATCTTCAGTGTTTATAGTCTTGTTCTGTTCTTACTAAGATATTAAATTTTTGCTTTTATTTTTTGATATACTCTCTCTTTCCGAGATATGCACTTTTTCATCCATATCGTTTAACATATTTCAGAAATCGTACATTGGCAAATTACACTGTTCGATTCACAAGCTAGTCTAATTATGACATTGATGTGTATTAAGTTTCAGATAAAGGAAAGATTACAAAATATGATATTATTGAATAATTTGATTTTACATAGAAGAATTCATCAATAATTCAATATCTTGATCAAAACATAACAAGATCATGAGCACTTTCAAAGTTGTTGCACTTTTATTTCCAACTAATCGTTTGCTTTTTGATTATTATGTAGAGTTGTTTTTTACATGAACAGTACATATGAAAAAGTTACGGTTTTATCGAGCTTACTATGTCGAAGAAACAAAATGGATTTTGAATATTTGCGGAGAAAACTTGATTTTTAAAAATAAGCAAATAACATAAAACAATTTACTTTTATTATTGTCAATTATTTATTCTTCAACAAATAGTTATAAACTCTTACATTTGTTCATTGATTTGAGATAAAATATGTTTTTCATGTAACTTATTTATTTTATTATGGCTGTCCGAACCAAGGTCTTTTCCTATAGGAGTATGAGAAAATAATTTCTAAGACAAAGCTTTTAAACTTTTAAAGTAAATATAAACTTTTTTTTTAAGCAAATATTTTTTATTCAAATATTGTATTCTTTAAAAAGACTTCTTAATTTCATAGAAAATATGATTTGTATTGATTTGATAATTCATTGAAGTAGAATAGTTATATATTTTACTTGTCAATATCCCTAAAGAGTATATATTTATATGTTTAGACTAATTCAAGAACAAGTTATCTATTTCGAAATGTGACAGAACTTATACTCGACATTGATCGACGATGGGCTGTTGGAACAATCCAACATCTTTCAACAATATTTGATCTATCGAATCTTCAAGCGTTACAATTAAATTTTAGAAGGGAATGCAAGTTCGCTGTTAGTTTAGATGTCGAAATGGATATTCTATTTAAACGAGCATGCAATCTTCGTTCAATTACAATAGATTGCGATGATTCTGAGAGAATGAAGTTAATAACTCTAAACGCTATCTGTTTGAAATTACCACGTCATATTAAACGTCTTGATACTGATATCACGTATGTGAATGATGCAAAAATAATATTGAAGCGAGCCGAAAATTTATCAAGTGTCACGTTTAGATATTGTGACCCAAGTACATTCAGCGACGAGATCTTTAAATGGCTCTCACAAATGGAAAGAAATGTGAATTCTAAGGTAAAGTCGAACATATTAATTCATCCCGACGGTTATGATGACATCAGTAACCCAGTCTATTTGTGGCTTGGCGAGAGCCTGAATAAGTTACCGAACACATCCAATAGTCACAAACGTATCAAGCGAACTCATCACTATCCATATTCATGATTTATTCGTTTCGACAAACATGGTTTTAAATCTTTATTTACATATTATAATCAATTCATTGCGCAGCGCAAGTGATCTTCAAATAAAACTCGAAATATTTTTAATTATAATAATTTTTCATTAAAAAAATATATTCACGTATGTTTTCTCTTCATGTATATGTACATTCAACAACGTTTTTTACGCCTTATTAATCCATATGTTACGACTGTGACGATTTTAGATAGAAGAAGAGCTAGCGCTGATGGAACTACGCTTTATTGTATTTCTTCCTATTAAGAATCGCATCGTTTACATACAAAGCATACGCTTATATACTCGTCCATAGAAGAAAAGGAGATAACAGGAAAGGAAAGGACAGTAAGGACAGAATATAAGTGCTATATGATAGGGACAACGTACAACACGATGTACTAAGTAAGGACAGAAAACCAAGGACAATAAATAAGATAACAACATAATAAGCGTATTATAACACAATAGAAAGTATTTCATTGAGTTGTTACACTCCCGGATAAGGTTTGGACACTCTCCACATACATTGTCACAACGACTTATTATTTAGGACATTTTTATTGTTAAATAAGCACAAGTAATTTATAAATACTTAATCAATTTGATTTTGTTTTAGTTAAAAAAAAATAATTTTCTTCCAATAAAATTTCTACCGAAAAATTCATTCTTATTATTCGTAAAGAAGCAACTAATTTACGAAATTTCGTTGAATTTTTTTTCAATAGGAAGATATATCAATTATATGAAGAATTTCTCGTAAGAAAATATTCAAGTAAATCAGCAATATAATAAAAACAAATATTTCAAAAGGATTGGTTTCATGAGAACTTGATGATATTTTCTACAATTTAAAAACTTTAAATCAATAAGATTATCAAACAGTTTAATTCAAATATTGATTATAATTAATGTTCATGATAAATAATATAATATATTGAAAATAGGATTAATTAACAGATTAATATCAGATTAAGATATTCACGTTCTTAGATTTAGCATAGTTCAATCTGAAAAAGTTTCTTCAGAATCTTACTAATTTTCAAATTTTGTCATGTTTGTTATACTGATTAGCTAATGAATTGAAGCCAAACTGAAATTCGATGACAAATGTTATTTAAAAGAACCAAAATTGATTCTCAAAATAAGACGTTTATTGCCGAATCAACAACTAAAGAGATAATAAACGGTCGAGATATGAAAATTAAGATAAACAAAAAGATTATTTCTTCGATTGAACTATGGTTTTCGAAATTTAATTAAAAAATTGTTCGGATCATTTATTCACCGAGAATGAATTTCTATTGAAAGCATTTGTTTTCGTTTTTTGTTTTAATTTTAATCTCTTTACAACTTGGGTGTGAGCGTGTTCGAAAATAATATACCAACACCCACCCACACTCACACCTACATCCACACCCACACCCACACACGCACACCCACCCGCCCACCCACACCCACCCACACCCACCCACACTCACCCATACCAACACCCCACACTCTACACCCACACCCACGCCGTGACAGAGAATCCAGGCACCCGTCGCAGATCGTGACAGAGAAATTGTAGTTGTAAAGCATCAGATAAACGGTTAGCTACAAAGGTATTGCAACATAGTGGAACGAAAGGATTTCCATTGAATTAGTAATAGTAGAGCCATTGTGTTTCACATTTTTAATCCCG